TATATATGTACATATATATAGATATATATTCAACAAAGAATTGGGTTCATATACAAAATAGACTAAGAATTTACAATAAGGAAAAAGTAGAGGGGCCTATGAGATAGCTCAGTAGTCCAAAGCACCTGCTTAGGTAGGCTTAGGCAACCTGGGGACTTTGGTTCAAGCCTCACCCACAGGGCAGGCTGAGCCAGCCATCAAAAGAAAAAAAGAAAGAAAGAAAAAAAGAATGAACAAAGAGGCAGAAAAAAAGAACTAAAAAAATCAAAAGACTTTAAGAGGTAATATATAAAATAGACAATTTAATGGCGAATATAAAGTGGGGACTTACTTCATTACTTACCAAAGATACACAAGTTAAAAGTACAATAATAAAAAAATAATAAAAATATAAAAAATAAGTTAAAAAAAAAAGTACAATAAAATATCAATACATACCCTTCACAATGTCCAAAAGTATGAGTCGGAGAATACCAAGTGTTGCAAGGAGATGGAAGCCCAGTAGAAATATATATTCATATACTGGAAATCTACATAGAAATTAGAGCATGGATGTCATAGCATTGAAAGTTAAAATGTATAAATTACATAATTCCATTATAGAAAACAATTGTAAGATTGTAGAAGTCAGAAAGCAGTGAAAGAGAAACAAGGCCCAGAGAGGAACCCTGCTGAGGTAGGAAGGAGCAGGACTAGGGCAAGAGTGAGGGGCTCAACGACAAGAGGTAGACTGAGGTGAGGAAAGGGATGGTCTGAGGTAGGTAAGACAGGGACAAAGTAGGAGACCTTACTGCACTAAGGAACAAAAAGAAGGACCGAGATGGGGGAGAAGGGCAGGAGGGAGGGCACTGAGCAGGGTAGAGTGGAGGGAGGGGGAGAAAAGAAGGGTGAGGGGAGGGGAGAGGAACGGGGCTGACAGAATGGGGCTGATGGGGTGAGGGTGGGGTGGGGGGTGCCGGCCTGAAGGAGGGGGACAGGGCCGATTAAGAATGGGGCTGACTGTGGGTGCGGGAGGGGTGCAGGCCTGATGGAGGGGTACAGGGCTGACTGAGAACAGGGCTGATGGGGTGTAGGTGGGGTGGAGGTGCCAGCGCAAAGGGAGGGGACAGAGTTAAATGAGAACAAGGCTGACTGAAAACAGGACTGACCCGTAGAGGGCGTGGTGCCGGCCTGAAGGAGGGGAACAGGGCTGAATGAGAACAGGGCTGACAGGGAGCGGGACGGGAGCCGGCCTGATGAAGGGCTGACTGAGAACGGGGCTGACAGGGAGCGGGGCTGACTGAGAGCGGGGCTGACTGAGAGCGGGGCTG